TAAGCCACTACCTGCGAAAATCATGTTTTTTTGTCAACTTTGAACATTAATAACTCTTTCATACGAATTCTGTTTGAGCTGTTTTTTTTTATTGTTTTCTTTGTAACAAGAGTTCTTTATGAACATATCACATTCCAAATTTTTATGTCGGGAAGTCTTATTTTTTTTTAGCTACAAAGTAAGGTAAATGGTGAAATATATGAAATTGTACCAAACTTTGAACCTTTATAACTTTGTCATACGAACTCCATTTAAATTGACTTATTTTTAATCGTTATCTTTGTAACAAGGGTTATACATAGACATCACATTTGATATTTTGGATATCAGAAAGTCGTACTTTGTAAACTCCAAAGTAGTACGCTTGGTGTTTATTGAAAAATTTCCAAACATCACCTTTTTTTCATATGAATATCAAGATATCATACTTCAGTATTGTTGTTAGAATTAGGGTATAACATGTAGCCATAATTATTCAGTTGCAAAAGAAGTAACACGACCATAAAAATAGTGATTTGTCTTCATAAAATTTGCACATTATGTGGTATGGTCAAGATGAAACCTACTAAAAATGTCAAGTTATTAGCTAATAATCCACATGGTTTTTACTTGATATGTTTATCTTTGGCTGTTATGAAGCTTTAAGTGGCTTGCGATATGCTATATTGGCCCCGATTCCAATTCAAATCAAGTATCGTCTCATCAATGCAGTCGACTCCTTATGAAGGTTCAACACTAAAACATTAGTTGATTGGTTATTTTGGATTAGCTATATTTTTTTATATTGGTTTAGTTTGATTCTCTACCCATACAAGTGATCCTTGAACAAATTGCTACAGAGATGTTTATTGGCGATTTGGTGCTTCAAGTGCTTCCTGGATGTTCATCATGGTATTTACAAAAGTCCGTTTTAGCACACTTTGTATAAAAATAATCATTTGCAAATTTGTGATTAAAGTTTAACTTTTTAAAAGTTTCAATGTTGTTTTAGGTTTGTCAACCGCGTAGCACATGGGTTATAAAAACTGTCTAATATATCTTGAAATATAATTCTACATATTTATTTGAATCAACATTAAATAAATAAAAAAACATAAATCTTTTAATTAATAATTTATTGAAAATAATTGATTAATAATTATAAATTTTTACTATATATATATTTTGTAAACATTGTTCCTACGGACTATAACCTAGTATATAATATATACAAACAATTTGTTGACAATTTGAATAGTTTGTTTACCAAAATCAGTGATAACCTTAAAATAGTTCTTTTATAAAATACTATGCATTCGCATAAAATAAAAAACTAGATTATAGCCCGCATTAAACGAGGGAAACACATAAAAAAACATATAATTGTCTACAGATATTGCATAATGATTATAAAAAAAATATATAGTTTTTGGTATTATTGAAATGTGTAGAAAATACATTGAAAACGATAAATATCTATAATCATTGAAGGACCTGTTTTTGTAGACAACATTTTTCGTTTTATTAGTTGAACGACATTCCTCGTCTCATATAGTTATGATATTGTTATATAATTATAAACATTTTAATTAGACGTTCATTCCATAATAAAGTTACCTAATTTAAACATATATTGACAACTAATATACCGTTTTTTCCACTGTATTAAATATTGACAACTATTTCATTTATTCAAATAAAGTCATATAATATAATTTATAGAATGTTAAATGTTATATGCATTTAATTTTAGTATATCATCCATTTAATTTTAGTATATCATCAATGGAGATTCTTTTCTAAATCATGATTGGTTTATTTTAAATTGATTATAAATATAAGTGCTAGCTTGTATGTTTGCTCTTATTTATTTGGTGTTCGCAAGAACTTTGCATTAGTTTTGACGTAACTTTGAATAATTTTAGTATATCATCAATGTAATTTGGTATATCTTTCAATTATATGAAATATCAAATAATGACATTTCATTACTATTGTGATAATTTAGTTTATATATTGTATTTTTACTAATCTTAACGGTCTTATTTTTTTCTAATAACCGTAACGCTTTTACTAATTGTACTTTTTACAAATCTCCTAATATCTTATAATTATTATCTTACTTTATAATTTTTCATAACTATGTTATGTTCAAGATTAACTGTCTTAATAGTTTTTTTTCAGTCTATTCAATTTTATGTTTCATTGTACAACATCATCGTTTGTATGTATTCTGAAATTTCACTTTAAAAATGCTTAATGGTTACACCTTGATATTAATTTTTTTTAATAAACCCGTGTAATAATTATGGAATATATATCTCGTTTTAATTAACATTTACTTCCTCATTAAATCAAATTCCTCATTAAACATATATATTTTTGGAAAGTAATAATTATAATGGGGTAGCATTATCTAAGACGTAAATGCTTGATATACTTTTGGAGGAAAAAAATCAGGATCGTTAAAAAAAAATTATATAAAGAAAATACAAATTTAAATTTGGTGAAATTATGGATGAAATTACTGGCAAAAATTATTTTGGAGGGAGTTGTATTTTTGTAAGGTATAATAATATTACGAAGTTCGAAATATGTATATTTGTTGTGTAAATTTATAAATTTTATTGTTACTATATAAAGATAAAAGAGTAGGTTGGTATGATATACAAATACATAATAATTTCAATGATATTTTAAAATCATGCCAAAATTAACCGGCTTCTTATGACATAAAAAAAATCATAATCATCTCTAATATAGAAAAGTAACATTTTCGTAATTAATGTCAGTTCACAAGATAGTTAATTTCTGTTTTGTTAAAGGTACGTAATATCTTTTCGTGTTTATTTAAAAAGTTTCAGAAAAATAGTTAACTGATTTCATGTAATTTGTGACAAAGAAAATCGAAATATATGAATACATATATTTGATATAGGAACAAAAAAATAATCGAAAAAAATATAAAAAGCGAAAGAAGGTACTGACATTCTAGTGCACAAGAGCGAATGTTTGAAGCAGAGAATGATGATGGAAGTTATAAGCAATAAGAATGATGTTGTAGGAGAAGATTTGAAGAAAAGAAACGATTGAAAATAAGTGTGAGCCGCGGATTCAATGATGAATCGTATATGTATGTGATAATTTGAATATGATTTTTTGGTATTAATGATTTCCTAATAAAAATAGATTTTATATTAATGGTTTACTAATATAAACGGATTTACATTAATGGTTGATATTAATGCTTTGATTGAAATGGTTTGTTAGTAATATGCTTTTAAAATTGACCATATTAAAATTTTCATAACCGGAAATTCAAGATTTAAAATATGGAAAACTTTTATTGGAATTAAATACATTCCATTTCAACGAATGTAAGTTATTGTTTGACGATTGGAATGCATTTATTGGAATTAAATACATTCCATATGGGGAAGATAATGTCAGCAATTTGATCTAAGGGTGGAAAAAATAAAATTGAAATACAATCAAGGGTTCATATTATTTAAGATGATGTCATAAGGTTTCTCTTTTAATAGTATTTAAAGATTATCAATATATGCATCGATTTCAACACAACATTTACCTTGAAACCTATTAAGCGAAAACAATTACAACTTATTTGTTGATCAAATTATGTTACCATAAAAATAATTAAAGTATAAAAAAATCATCAACAATGATTAAATGTAGGGATATTGACTTCAAAAGATAATATATTTTTTGATTTGTACACATTTGGTCATTGAGTTTTTTTTCTTCTACATTTACCCCTTCAACTTGTTAAACTGTATAAATTCAGTCTTTATGACCGGTTACTCCAGGTTAGCCGGTAAAATGACTTAATAAGGTAATATATTTCTCACTTTGTACACATTTAGTCATTAATATTTTTGTACACATTTAGTCCTTTATTTTTTCTTTTCTACAGAATAAATCATTTTTGTTTTTGTACTCATTCAGTACTTATAAATAATTTCTTTAGGTTTTTCCTATGACATCTTAAGTGGGATAATCATTAATGAGGTGTTTGGGGCTTTTGATGTTTATGCCCATCGCAATCTCGACTACTTGGTTGCTTAGGTCATCTGAATGTCATAACTTCTTTATACGATCTCAGATTTTAACGATCTTTATATTCATACGTTTTTTATGAATGCATGTATGGATGTTTTTTTTATAAAATCGTAAGTAAGAATATATTACATTTTAATGGGAGTAATCATAACGAAAGTTGTAGTAGACTCAAAAAAACGAACACGTGAAAATAAAGATCGTTAAAATCTGATATCGTATGAAGAAGTTACGATGTTTAGAACAGAAGACCTAAGTCAAACTACAAGACCTACGCAACCAAGCAGTCGAGATCGCGATGGTCATAAGCATCAACAACCTCAAACATCTCATCAATGATTGTCCTACATAAGATGTCGTGAGAAAAACTTAAAGAAATCATTTATAAATACTTAATGAATACAAAAACAAAAATGACTTATTTTGAAACAAAAAAATATTAAGGACTAAATGTATACAAAAATATTAATGACTATATTATCATATTAAGTCATTTTTCCCGGATAACCTGGAGTAGCCGGTCATAAAGACTGAATTTGTTCAGTTTAGCAAGTTGAAGAGATAAATGTGAATGAAAAAAAAAACTCAGATACCAAATGTATAAAAATCAAAATATATATTCCCTTTTTAATCATTATCCCTCAACTGTATAAAAATCAAAATATATATTCCCTTTTTAATCATTATCCCTCAAATGTAAAGTGAGCTAGTGGCTGTAAAATAAGCAAAAAATGTCTGAAATAATACGTAAAATAGACCAACATTAAAATATGTTATTATTTTGCCAAAAACCACATTGTTAGAAATAAAATAATAATCATTAAAATGTATGCTAATTATTGTGTGCATTGCATTTCGCGTCTAACCTTTTAAAAAAAATGATGTACACTACACCATGATTAAAACCCAAAATTTGTTCCCTAAACATAGTAAAAATTCAAATAGCTTAACCCATGCAGTATCCCATATTATATTCTTAGAAACCAAATATGTGAATAATTATATTGTTCGGGGACCAAAAATGTAGTTCACCCAGCTTTTTTCAATTAGGTCCCTCGGCTGTTTTCCTACATAATTAACTAAAACTCGGTCCGACTCCAATCGATCACGAAAACCCGAGTTTCCTTTTAACATTTTCCGGTTCTGTACATTTAAAAAACTAAATAGAGCCTTGACTCCAGAAAGGCTTACCCCCACCATGTTCACTCATACTCCCTTTTAATCTATTATAAAACCCGGGTTTCTTCCTAACCGTCCTTAGCGGGCCGGACCTATTTCCAAGACCGCCATTGTTTTCAACCTCGTCAAATGGACCGGAGGCGGAGCTATAATCCATCGTTAAGATGGGAGAATCGTTACCGTACATGAGATGTGTGGAACCGCCGGCGTTCCACCAGCTGCCATCGGAAACGGTGTGGTCGGCTTTGAATTCGGATTCGACGGCGGAGGCGGAGGAGTCTCGTTGGGTAGTGGTGTCGTCTTTGTCGTTGTATATGAGTTTTAGGGCTTGGACGACTTCGCCCATGAAAGGTCGTTGAGCCACCTGTGGGTGCACACACATGGAAGCGATTGCAGCCACTTTTGCCATGTCGTTGAAGTCGTAGGTCCCGGCTAAGGTCCCGTCGATTAACCGGAGCAGACCTTCTTGGGTTGTGAGAAGTGGGCGGGCCCACGTGACGAGGTTTTCTTCACCCGGAGGTTGTGACATGTCGACCGGTTTTCTTCCCGAAATAAGCTCCAGCAGCACCACCCCGTAACTGTACACGTCGCTTTTCACTAGTAGATGCCCCGTCATCGCATACTCGGGAGCCACATAACTGTGATGTGAAAGAAAAATCAAATATTTTTATTTTAAATTTAAATTATAAACCAAACAAACCCCTCTTTAAATAATAAGTGTTGAAAAAGACAATAAACCCGAAAGTTCCCATGACACGGGTTGAAATGTGATGACTCCCTTCTGTAGCTTCCCTTGCTAACCCGAAATCTGATACCTTAGGGGTAAAATCGTCTTCTAGCAAAACGTTGCTGGCTTTGAAATCACGGTGGATGACACGAGGGTTGGAATCTTCATGAAGATAAGCCAACCCTCTTGCTGCACCCAGAGCGATCTTTAATCGCACATCCCAATCAAGAGGCCCCGTTTGCTTATCCACACCTGAAACACCAATACCAATCAAAATACAAATTTTATATGATAAAAGAAATGAGTGAAAGCATGTTGGTATTTCTAGCATTAAGATTTAAAACAAACCACATATACCATGCAAATGAGATTCAACGCTGCCATTGGGAACAAGCTCATAGACCAAACAGCGAGCACATCCTTGAATGCATATACCAATGAGTTTAACAAGATTACGGTGATGCAACCGGCTTAACATCTCAACTTCTGCAATGAACTCACGATCTCCATTCTGGTTAATATCTCTGTTCAACAATTTTACAGCAACCAGAGCTCCATCATCCATGATCCCAAGATAAACACATCCAAAACCACCTTCACCCAAAACTCTTAATGAGCTGAATTTCTCGGTAGCTTTTTCCAGCTCAGCTAATGAAAACGTCTTAACGGAAAGAACACAAGTAGGCATGGCGGAAACAACAGATACTGATATGGAACTTGTTGGATTGCTTGCTAACAATGCTCCAAGTCCTACAAGTACAACACCAATCATTCATACATTTATTTCTATGTAACTTGAAACACTACTAACAATTGTTTTTTAAATTGAACAGAAAGCCATCCCAAGGTTGAAGCTTACCACATCTCTTGTTATTTGAGGATGTAAAAGCACTGGATGAATTACATAGCTTTCTGTACTTGATGATAACACAAATTGCAGCACAGCAAACAATCAAGAGCACTGCTGCAGACAATGCAATTACAAAAATGGTTTTACGGTTTATTGTCTGACTTTTGCGAACAAAATTTGCGGTTATTGGGAAATCTTGCATCCCGGGACCTCCGCTTGGTTCCATCTGTAATGGCGAAGTAGGAAGCCCTGATTGTGACATGACATCTCATATTTTAGAACCCAAATTGGTAACAGGAAAAGATATGGAAGTATAATATATTATACCTTACCTGGATAAATAATATATGCCACTTGATAATCTCCGAAAAGGGTTTTATTCAATGAGAGTTTTTTCTTCCAAAATCTCTCGTATGTGAAAGCAGCAGTGACATTATCGAATCGCTGTCCCAATGGCACCAAGTTTGCATCAATGACTGTTTGTCCTTGGTTTTCACTATCAGCACTGGCACCTGTTATCACCACTTGGCTTTGTGTTAGGTACATGCCTGATGCAATCTCAATCTCTAGCTCGTTCACAACAGGGAAGACAGCATACACAGACACTTGTAAAAGCAGTCTCACTTTCATTGGTAAAACACACCCACAAGGTGAACCAATAGGAGTCGAAGTCAGTGGTTCCAAACAGGTTAGGCCACAACCTGCATAATCATCTTTACTTTAATAATAAGATTGTTATTGAGTCTAGAAAGTAGATAAAAGATAACTTATATACCTGGTCCAGAGGATGGAGATGGGGAGACTGCATGAGTTCTTATCCCATGAGGATGATGATGGCGGCCGTGGGGGTGGTGGTGGTGGTGGTGATGTGGCGGCAAGCTGCTACCAGTAGGACCAGAAACAAGACCTAAATAGAAAGATATTTTATGAGAATATGCTGAACTTTCAAGAGCTTACAATGTGGTTAAAAGAATTAAGGACCTTGAATTGTTGGAGAAGAAGCAGGAACAATCAAAGGCTTAAAAAAAGGTTTGGGGTGATGTGTATTTGGTGGATCCCTCATTGATATAAGTCTCGCTGCAAATAAAAAGAAAAATATCGCTATCTAATGCAAGGTATATTGATCCAGCAATGTGATATGAATATAAGTGTATTTATTGATCGGGTTTCATATTAGATTCATTAGTATTTAGTGGACCCCACCCCACAACACATTCCCAACTTCATCATATACCTTTGAGTCATTATGGAAAGAAATAAATACCCAAAACATTAGATTGATCTTAAGCCCTTGCACGCATATCGATGCAAATGTTTTTTGTTACCTTAGGCTGCTCTGAAATCCATGCAGCCATCAATTTGCGCATAGCATTTGAAACATGAATTTATAGACTATAGAGCAGTTTGATCAATTGAAAAGTATTGAAGTGGTACGTACAAAAAAAAAAAAAAAAGAGTTAAAGATAGCCATCATTCCATTCTATCAATCTTGGAAAAAATCTCTATTCTTGAAAGACAATTGATGCGAAAGGGAGAAATCCCAGGAAAGGAAGTTGATAAACTTATTTTCATATAAATAGACAACTAGACGAGCACCATTAATGTTATAACCTTCTAACTGCAATTTGTTGAAATGAGCAAATCAAGAGGCTAGATTACATATAAGTGAACAACCATTTAAGAGCATTCTAAAAATATCATCCTGTTCCACAATCGTTGCTTATATTTTCATTAAGTAAGCTCGGGTGAGACTTCCAATCTTGACCAAATAAAAGAGGTTTCAATCTATACTGTTGAGTACTAAAAACCAGTAAAAAGAATTCACAATATACAAAAGTTGCCATTTTCGTTACAAAGGAAACCCATTAACGTTCAATCATGATATAAACCTATCTCTTATTTGACTGACAATGTGACAAGCCCCTGATTTCTTTAAAAAATCAGATGAAGATCTCTTTTTATTTTAAGATTATAGTAAGGGTATTCAAAAGAAAAGCCACCAAAACTGCTTCTAACATACAAGGTCAATGTTCATCGCAAGGAGCAAGCATTGGGTATATAATCTTCCATTTTGCGTCACGATAATAACTCACAACATCAATAATCTCAATGCAATGTCAATAGAAATTTTGTGACAAAAAGGCAAGTTCACATTGTTGTTTTAGTTTGTACTTTGTAGTTTACATCAGCAAAGTAAAAGCATAACCGGCGTAACTTTTCTCAGTTACTTGGAGAGACTGAAACGGAGTAACTGCATGAGCAATGTGTCAAATACCAAAGCAAAATTCTTTCTTGTTGTAGAATTTTAAAATGCAACTTAAGTTCACCTATGTCCTTTCGGATAGTCTTTGGGAACCTTGATGGTAGTCTTTTGATCTATTGGAGAGCTATTTACTTAAGTTAAGGTAGAATACCATGCAGTAAGAAATAAAAATCTTCATGTTATTCCTTTTCCTCATTTGTAAACAGGATGCATTGGTATGCTACTGCTTTTATTCCATAAATGATTGGTAGTATACTACTTGATAATATGATGCAACTTAGCTTCACTTTTATCCAAAGTTAAGATATAGATTGGATGTTCGACAACCATCTCTAAATGGTAATGACTACAATCAAGCATATGCACATAAGCAAGAGCAGGTCTTGCTTAGCGTAATTATTACTTTTTATCACATATTCCCCAGACAATAAAACAGTTGTAAGGCAACTTCATTATTGTCTGAAACCAAAAGTAGTTCTTCCACAGAGAAGCGGCGAACATCACCATGTAGATTTGCCAAGGTTAGGAATCTCCAAGCTTTTGTTGAGTGCTACACAGAAGAACGCACTTCTATGCAGATAAATTGGGACATTTAACATTACTGATTTTGGCACAATTAGTGTGGTGTAATCTAATTAATAACAAGAACTACGTACAGGGTACATTGCTAACAAATTCATATCAACTTTGCATCTTAAAAATACTAGGTTTAACATAAAAATTCGAACCATAACTTTTTCGATTTTCAAGAAAGGAGTATTATATAATTTTATATCAAACAGTTTCCACAAAGAGTACAGCACGAACACATATCATAACGCACTAACAAAACCCTAATTTCACTCCCAATTCATCAATTAACTGTTAATTTTTACCTTTATCAATTAACAATTATTGTTCCCATAGTGTATGTACGAATAAACCCTAAAATGGTTAAAGAAATAAAATTGAACTAGTAAGGTCCATACCGTAAGTGGCAGCTGTAGAATCGAAAGGGATGAGATGGAAACTAAACAACAGCACCAGAATAGCGAGCATTTTGGGAGCGAATTCACAAACATCATTGTCGGAACGCCAGTGCTTGAATAAACAATGCTACATTGAACGCCAATCTAGGCTTTCTCCGTTGAATTAATTTCCACCGACAAAACCCTCCGTCAATTCTATTCCCCGATAGTAAATGAACCATTGGTGTGCATCAAACACAAACACAGCTCTCAAGTACGACAATGCAGATCCATAGAATGAGGCGAAGATCAGAAGCGAATGTCAGGACAGGACATTTAGAGAGATAGAGAGAAGATTATGGTTAGATCTTGATAGAGAACGAAGCGAAAGGTTTCAAGAGAGTGAGACAGCGACATGAACTTACGACTAGGGCCGAACCAAAAGTTGAGCATATGTTCAGTAAGATTTTTCGTTTGTTAGTATCCGCATCATAGACGTCATTCATGGTTTTTTTTTTTTTCATAAAGGTTTCCACTATTTTATCAAATAATAATAAAAATAATAATAATAATAATAAACTATTAACTTAAACAGTAAATTACACAATCGTCCATAGATAATTTATATTTTTGGTCCCTAATTTTTTTTTTAATTCAGATAGTCCATGCTTATAAACTCATTAGTCTATTACCCACATATGATGTTCCACGCTTTCTTATTGCTCTTATCAGCCATTACCACAACATACCCCTTCTTCCTTTTCGCTCCTTTCATTGAAAGCTACATCACCTCCCCCTTTCTTGTCATACAACTCACACATCGCAACCAAAGTTTGTAACATCCTAAATTTAGGGATAGACTTTTCGTTCTAAATTAACTAAGTAAATAGTTAGTTAAATAGAAAATAAATAGACAAACCAACCCATAAATAAAATAAACTAACATAAATAAATCAAATTTTTTAGTAAATGGAACTTTTTAGAAGAATAAATGTTTAAATTATAACATTTGGGACTAAAAATGCATAAAGGCGAAAGTGTGTTGACAAAGAATTGACTCACTTAAGTGTTAGTTAGACCAATAAATTCATAAACTATAAAAGAAATGATTGATTGTCGAAACTCTATAAGTTGAGTGGAACAATTATTTAAAATGGTGTTGTGTTGGCAAAAACATGTAAACTAAGGGTAGGATTTGAAAATTTGGCAAATAAGATGCACGAACACATTCATTCCTTCATCTCTCATATGTCACCTGTTATAAATAAATAGAGTCGCAACAGTTGGTAAGAGCAAAATATTAGCAATATTGGTTAGAGATGAATTATATAGATTTAGTTTGTTAATTAGTTGAGTCATTAATTAATTAAATAAAATTTGTATATCTATAAGGGCCTATGTATAAGAATCTAATATTTAGATAATTACCAAATATAAGAATAATTACTTAGTGACCAAGTAATTATCACTTAGGGTTTAAATCATTTCCTTATAGATAGAGGCACCTATATCCAGAATTAAGTGTTTATCCCAGTTTTGAAAACTCTCCAAATTAGTGTCCTACTTCTCTCTACCCCTAATAACAAAGTTGTAAACGTGTGTATTTGATAAAGTCAAATGGTCAAATAGCCAGAATAGTCTTAGCTCTAGTATAGCCGTAAATATCTCCTTTCTAGTTTTCTACTTGTATATATAAACATTGCATAGTGAAAGATAATCACACAGTTCAGTTTCAAAGCTCATATGGTATCAGAGATCTGATTACTCTAAAAACCCCACAGATCCTTCTTCCTTTTGTCTTCTTTGATGGCTTCTGGAAGCCCTAATCTTCTCAATTTAGCCACTACCACCGCCACTAACCTAAATTTTCAGATCCCTACAATCACTATCAAACTTGATCGAACCAACTATCCACTCTGGCGCACCACCATTGTTTCGGCACTTGAAGCTTTTGAGTTGGAGGAATTCGTCTTGAATCCTCAGCCACCACCCGGAAATTCTCACTGTACCTGCGATTGACGCAGTTCCAGCCACCGCTACCTCACCTGCTGTTGCTGCCATTCCTGCCACAACTACACCAAATCCTGAATACGCCACATGGAAAAGGCGTGATCGGTTTGTTCTTTTGTGGCTAAAATCCACCTTGTCAGAAACGGCTCTTACTCTCGTTGCTCGCGCAACTTCATCTTTCACAGCGTGGCAAATCATTGGGAAAACTTTTCAAGCCCAAACTAGGGCTTCTCGTATGCAACTCAGGTCTCAACTCCAGTCCCTTAATAAAGGGTCTATGTCAATAATCGAATATATTGAGCGAAAACGTTCGATTGTTGATTCCTTAGCTGAGAATCTTTATCCAGTTACCGATGAGGACCTGATTAACTATATTCTTGGTGGACTTGACTCCTCTTACAGTCCATTCATCACAGCATTTATGATGAAGTCGGAAGCTCTCATTGTTGATGACCTTACAGGATTGTTACTCCAGGAAGAAGCAAGACTCGAACAAGAGCATCTTCGTATTGCCTCTGTACCGCAATCCTCTACTGTTGATGCTCTCACAGTAAAACGCTCAGCTTACCACAACACATCACAAGGCTCAAACTCATCTCAGTCATCCCGCAACTCAGACTCACGACGCCGTCGTCCAGTCTGTCAACTGTGTAACAAAACAGGGCACGAAGCTATTGACTGCTGGCAAAGGACAAACCAGACTGACTTTCCCTCAAGGAGGCCTAATCCATGAAACAATCAAATACAGGTTCATGTAGCTCAACACACCCCATCTGCTACAGCCATGGACCCAACATGGTACTTTGATACCGGAGCCACATATCATGTCACTCCTGATGTCTCCAAACTTAATATTGCAGACAACTACCAAGGAGATGATAAACTTCAAGTAGGAAATGGTAACCATATGTTTATTTCTCATGTTGGCTCAACTTCTTTGCCTAATTTAAAATTGCCAAATGTGCTTGTTGTTCCTGAACTCACTAAAAATCTACTCAGTGTGTCTAAATTAATAGATGATAATGATGTGTACATGGAATTTTGGCTTAATCATTGTACTGTTAAGACATTGCAGGGAAAAACAATCATCAAGGGGGATAAAAGTCAAGGCTTGTATCGGCTGCCTCACACCAACACTTCTCACACAACCTTCTCTAGTATTCGCACCTCCCTCCATGGATGGCATAGGCGGCTTGCTCATCCACATGAACCTCTTCTTCGGCGTTTAGTATCTTCATTTAATCTTCCAGTCTCATCAAATAAATTTCCAAGTGTTTGTGATTCGTGTCAACTTGGAAAAAAGTCATAGATTTCATCTCCCCGCATCTCATGTTAATTCTACAAAACCTTTTGAATTAATATATTCTGATGTTTGGGGCCCTTCCCCGATTTTTTCTTTAAATGGTCATAGATATTTTGTTCTGTTCATGGATGATTGCACTAAGTTCATATGGGTTTATTTTTTAACTCATAAATCACAAGTATTCTCTACCTTCTTGCAATTCAGAACCATGATTCAAACACAATTTTCTTGTGATATCAAATCTCTACAAACTGATTGGGGTGGTGAATACAGAAATGTTTCGACTTTTCTTAAAAACCATGACATTCTTCATATAATTTATTGTCCTTATACACAAGAACAGAATGGTGCTATTGAACGCCGAAATAGAGTAATTGTAGAAAAAGGGCTCACATTATTAGCCCAATCATCCCTGTCTAAACTTTTCTGGGAACATGCTTTCAAAACAGCCACCTATTTACATAATCGTACCATCACACCTCTGTTAAATTATGAATCTCCATACCAAAAATTATACCACAAAGTCCCAGATTATAATTTTCTTAAAACTTTTGGATGTCTCTGTTTTCCATATTTACGACCATACAACTCTCATAAAATTGATTTCCGCTCAAAGCCTTGCATTTTTCTGGGGTATAGTGCTTCACACAAAGGTTACATATGTTACCATCAATCAGCATCTCATATATACATCTCACGTCATGTGGTCTTTAATGAGGACACTTTTCCATACAACACCACTTCTTCTATTGCAAATTCTCAAAATTCAGTACCACTTGCCACTTCACCTACTATTATTGCCACCTTAGATTCAACACCACCTACTCCCACTATACCCTCAACCCCATCCCACATCTCCACCAAACACGCCCTCTACACAAAGTAACTCATCTCCTACCCCTGTTCATTGTTTGAGCCCCATTACACCTTCTCCACCGATTAATACCTCTCAATCTCCTAACTACCAACACTCCACTGTGTCTTCTCGTGCTAGACAACAACCCACCATACCCTCCTATTATCGACCGGCTGATAATAGTCAGCACCCTATGATCACTCGTGCACGTACAGATTCCCTCAAACCAAAAACCTTCCTTACTACCGTTTCCCCTCATCTTGAACACGAACCAAAAACATATTCCCAAGCAATAAAGCACACATGTTGGCAAGATGCAATGAAGGCTGAGTATGATGCCCTCATGAAAAATAACACTTGGTCTGTAGTACCATGTCCTACTAACGCTAATATTGTTGGTTGTAAGTGGATTTACAGGATTAAAAGGCGTTCTGATGGCACTATTGACCGACACAAGGCACGCTTGGTCGCTAAAGGATTTAGTCAAGAGGCCGGAGTAGACTAATTTGACACGTTCAGTCCTGTTATTAAACCAACAACAATACGTCTAGTTCTCTCCATTGCTCTCTCACAAGGTTGACGTATTCGACAACTTGACATAAATAATGCGTTTTTAAATGGTGACTTATCGGAGACGGTCTACATGACACAACCTAAAGGCTTTGAAGACAAATCAAAACCTCAGCATGTATGTCGGTTAAACAAGGCATTATACGGTCTTAAGCAAGCTCCACGAGCTTGGTTTACCAAACTCAAGCATTGTCTGATTACTCATGGCTTTCGAGCATGTCGGTCAGACACATCCATTTTTGTTCATATTTCTTCATCATCTACTATTTACGTTATTGTCTATGTAGATGATTTGATAGTTACAGGAACAAATGACATCCACATGCATCAGTTCATCACCAACCTAAATCGCATGTTTTCACTAAAAGATCTTGGCGATTTGCATTATTTCCTTGGCCTTCAAATCACTCTACACAAGTCAGGAATTACAATATCTCAAAAGGCCTACATAAGGGATGTTCTACATAGAAGCAACATGTCTGAAGCATCTCCCGTGTCTACTCCAGCAGATCCATACAATCGTCTACAAAAGAATGGAGATCCTTTTGCTGACCCTACTCTATATCGCCAAGTTGTGGGCTCTCTTCAGTATGCTACCATTACACGCCCAGACATTGCTTATTCTGTTAACCGTATGTGCCAGTTTATGCATTCTCCAACAAATCACCATTGGCAGGCTGTTAAAAGAATCTTG